AAATAATATTTGTATACGTGCAAATAAAAATTATAGAATTGGTATACTTGCAAATAAAAAATAAGATGAGTGCATGTGCAAATAAAGTTGATTTTGATGGCGGGTGAGGTAATTTTCTCAAAATAAATAGTTTGGCCAAGATATTTTATGCTTGAGCAGTGGGCTTGATGATGTCCTGGTAAGATTAGGGTCAAATAGCTAATTAGTTTTTGCCTTTTTAAGGGGATATAAAAAGAGTCGGACATTCAAAACAGAGAAGAGAACGAGACTTGAACTTGTAGACTTGGAGAAGGACTTTGAAATATGGTTCTGAAAACCGGACGGTCATCGAACCGGTCAGGCTACTAGTTCAATGGTTCGCTGGTTCGACCAGTAGTTGAACCGGTTGGACCATTATTTAATTTATTGGTATTTTTTAATATTTAATATTTCATAAATTTAGTTAACTTGTTTTAAAGACTTGTCCGACCTGTCTCTTTGGTTTGATCAACAAATGGATACAAATTGAGTAACAATTGAGAGAGTAATGTTCCCCTACCCACGATAGACACATGTTAATATGTCCACCACTTATGTGGCATGCACATTGGTGATGTAAAAATACATCACCAATGTGTGCATGCCATATAAACTGTGGGCGTAGTAACTTATGGCCACGTAGGTAGGGAACATTACTTACAATTGAAATAGTTACAAGAAGTAATAAATATAAGCATGTACATTATTATAATCAAAATTTATGGTCGTATATATACTAACATTATAGTCAGAAGCAATGAAATAATAAGACAAAACTATTTCCCACAACCAGATTAAAGAATAAAATAATAGCATAAAAAAATAGAAAAAAAATTCCTCCTAGGCTCCCACGACTGCTACAGTTGGAATTATTACTACGTGCTCCACATCGATTGAAATAATAGTTGACTTGCTCTATAAATTGTACGAGTGTATCAGTCTTTCAAAAAAAAAAAAAAAATACTGGCTGATCGGATCTACTGGTTTTTGGCCGGTTTTGTCTGGTCCAACCGCTCATTAACCGGTTTTGTTGGCAGCCGGTTTATTTAGAGAACCAGACAGGTGAGCTGACCGGTTCCCGGTTCAACCGGTCGAACTGACCGATCCGGTCTGATTTTCAGAACAATGCTTTGACAGCAAGCAACAAATGTGCCGACTTCGAGGCTAGAGAAGAACAACCTTTTCTTTCTTTTCTTTCTCGTGTAAATAATTTCATGATCATCTTTAAGAATACTATGCGTGGCTAATACCTTAATTCTAGTTTTGAGAAACTCGAACCCTACGTCTTGACGATTATTAGTTTTCTTGGTTGATAATTTTATTATTTTTATGACATTGTTCATGTTATTTTGGTTGATGAATTAAGATATGTTTAGTCTTATCTAAATTGATCATCTAGATAGAGCTTTTTATATTTATAGCTAGAGTTTAATTTTCAGTCCATAATTGTTGATGTGTTTGATTCGTTAGTAGCGAACAATAGATGAAAATTGTCGAAAATAACACGGCCTAATTAAGTAAACCGAGCGTTTGAGTTTTGAAACGTATATTTAATTGCGAGTGCGCAAAATGTAGTACGAACTTGATTAGGAATTGTAAAATACGGAAGCAATAAACCGAAGATTTAAACAACTCTTCAAGGAAGCGTCACACTTCCCCTCAGAGCTCTTTCATTGATGAATCGTAATGCAGCATAGTTTGGACTTACAAGACTCGAACTTCCTTCTAGTCTAGCCACAACTATACACGATCCTAACAACTATTTCTCCGGCCATGTCCCGTGGACTTTTTACCTAACACTTAATCCCTAAGTGTAAAGAAAGAAACTGTTTGCAGAAAAACAAAGAACAAGAAACAAAAAAAAAAAAAAAGCTTCAATTCTAAGATCCGTAAGAACCATTGAATTGAACTGTGTACAAACGATGTAAGCGGAAAAATTTCGAAGCTCGAATGTCTCTAAGAATGTGTGGCATCAGCAGCCGACATTCGATCTTGCAATAGGGTATTTATACAAATCCCTAACTGTGGAGTCTTCTCCAAGAATAGGACTCCTTCTTGATTTCCTTCCATGTTTATCTAAAGCATCATGGTAAGTATAGGACTCTTTTTCTCTCTCTAAGGGTATCTCCTCTATTCATCACGCGGTTCCTCATCTCTCATGCAACCCGATCTCCTACAAGCAAATACCATAACAAGATCCATGCAACGTAAATATGAACTAATCTAATTAAGGTAACAAATATGACATAAGGATCTCCCCTTTTTCTATAGTTCCCAGTGCTTGTTCGAACATGTCTTCAACCAAGACTATTTTTGGACTTATGCCAAACAAAATATCTTTCAAGTTTACTACTTAGACTAGCATATTTTCTTTGATTCTAAAGCTACTACTGCATTAAATCTAGTGAGCGTGTTCTAGACTGTCCATAGTTATGTTTAATTGAAGAGCGTATTTTGGCTAAATATATTGTAAGAAAAAATTCAAGTAGCAGTGCGTATTGCTATCTAGAGCTAGTAATTTCATTAGATAACAAAGTTTGATACTATAATTAATTAGATGAGTCGGTCAAAGGTGTAGACGGAACTTGAAGCTTTCTTATTTATTTAATTAATCATTTTGATTTACTACACTCAATTTTACTTCTTTTCTCACAGTTTTTTAGTAGTATATTAATACGTACCACGAACTTCTCCCGTTATTATCATTTTTGTAATCTCAATCAAAAAAAATAATTGCAATTTAATCACACACTCTCTGTAGGTTCGACTTTTACTCGCCACTACTATTGGTTCGTAGAGGTTAGACAAAGAAAAATATAAATTTTAAATTTGTCTCATTGCGACGCGTAGTCATCTGACAGCTGATTGGATCAGCATTCGTTTTATCCACGTGACTATCTGGTTCGTCGATTGTGCGTCTTCATTGGTGGAACACACGATCTCCTCCAGAGATTAATTCCCCCCCCCCACCAGTTTGACATAATGATACACAATCGATTCTCTTAGTAAAAATACTAATGATGAAGATTTTAAATCGACATTTGGAATTGTGATAACTGGCGTTGACGACCGTCGGTTAAATACCGAAAGGATTTTTCTTATCTCTTAAGTTATGCCAGTCGACCAATACAACTTATAATAAAAGAAAATACTAAACTTGTAAATAGGCCCTAACAAATAATATACTAACATAATCATCATTTTTTTTTTTCGAAACGACATATTAAATAACTAAAACACATAATTACAGTCGGCTAACTAGTCGGAATAGGAGGGCTGCCCAAGGTAGCCTAGAAACCACAAAACATACTACAAAATGAAACAAGAAAAATAAAAAGTTCCAATATGAGAATAACACAATCTCCCAATAGAAGAATAACACAATCTTCCAAAAGAGTAGAAAACAAAACACAACACACAAAACTAAAAACACAATTAAAACACAAAACCTAAAAAATGCATGACTAAAACAACTACAACCCTTCTCACAACAATAGCCACACCCAGAAAAACGGTGGCAGAGTAAGGGCCACAAAACCCGACCCAGAAACTGTAAGAGAACACCTAACTGGGCTTACACCAACAACCCCTACTCCTATCCAACCGAACAACACCACCCACACTCTGAGACCAACACCCCCATCACTACTTCACCGGCAACACATACCCAATCCCCCCCCACAAGAGAAACCTGAACCTCGGTTGCCAACGCCATTCTCCTCCTCCCAACACCAGAGCCGAATGGGACATTGAGGGTAGGGACGAGATTTCAACCCCAATCCCACCACCGGGAAAATTGAGCCACAACCCGCACCAAGAGATCGCCTAAGGACTGACGCAACGAAGAATCCAGGGAGGCGACTACCCTCCTCTCCGTCTAAACACCATAAGAACTCCAGGTATCGGAACACCGCCACCAACCACTCGGCGAGCCCCGCTGGGAAGGAGCCTGAACTTACACTAAGAGAGGACGAGGGTTTAGATCGGTGAGATGGGGATTTTTTCCCTTTTCGCAGGGAGGGTTGACAAAATCACCCTCTTAAATAAACAAAACACGGATAACTCCTCCTCCGAACTCAATCGCCCGAGCACGTCACTGCTGTGGTCCGTTCCCCCAATTTGTTGTGTTCCTCGTGCTTGTTGCTGCCACTGTGCTTGATACGAGCTCGCCGTTGTTGGTTGTATGTGTTCATAAGATCTCTGCCCTCGTCCGCATAAGTGTTCAATGTTGTTTTTGGAATTTTATTCTCTAATATTGAAGGTAGATTTCCATTTGTGGGAATTCTAGGTCTCTCTTTGAATTCGACTATTTAATTTTTCTTATCGGTAAAAGTAAATTTATAGATCAAAACTGGTGTTTGAACGACCAACATGCGGCCTACGAGTGTAGTGGGCAGCCACATCATGGCTCCTCAAGCAAAATAAAAATGCAAAAACCCCAATCGCGTCGTGATGCGACTCTCGGCTCGATGCCCGTCTTCCTTCCCCCGTCAAGGGGATACCTGTCATACGCAAGACACTTCTCTCATATTCGACAAGGACATTTGGATACAACGTAAAGATTGTACGATAAACATGAGTTTGGATCTTATAGATGACTAAACTTGGAAGTTAGGATTCACCTTAAAAAATCAACCTATTTCTCGCATTCCAAATGAAATACACGGTTGCTGCAAGCGTCAGTTTCCTCAACTTTGTTTGCCAACTAGTACGTCGAGCCTCCTTTGTCCATTTAAGAGCCTATTTGATTGTTATTGGCTGTTTGATTGTTTTAGTAGGCTGTTACTAATTATTTTGATGACTGGAAACATGTGTATTAATATATATTTTTTAAAAGAATTTATCTACAACTTGAAGAACCTCTTTACCCTTCCACCATCGTTGATTCTCGAGTCTGAAGCCTGCGATTCACTTCTTGCTTTTGGAAACGGCGACGAGAATTTTCCTTTTCCAATCCATTGATTCTGTTCAATCAATTTGAGATGGCGCTGCAAACACTTGTGGGCATAAATCTCACCCGTTTGATACCGGAGAATATGTCATCTCCGGCGATTTTCAAAACTCGATGTTCCCTCGCTGTCTCCGCTTTCTCCACCGCCTGTGAGACCGAACCCTCTACTTCTTTGGTTTACTATTTGTCGGCGCACAAGCACCGTTTGTCTCATGATGTGCCTTCATGCGTCGCCTCCGTTTTAAGTCCTGTGGGCCGCCAGAAAAAATACGATTCAGTAGTCGCCTTCTTCGTACAGATGGGATTCACGAAAGCCCAGCTGGAGAGAACCTTGAATCTCCGGCCCCACCTACTCGCCACCAATCTTGAGGGAACCATCAAGCCCAAGATCAAGATATTCGAGGACCTAGGCTTCTCCTCGGAAGAAATTGCCGCCGTAGTGTTGAAAGAGCTAGTGATTCTGCACGTCAGCCTGATAAATAAAATCATCCCCGCATTGTCCTGGTTAAAGGGCATGTTGGGTTCGAATAAGAAAGTGGCCAAGGTTCTGAGAGATAATGGTCGACTTCTTTTGACCGATTTTGAAACACACATTTTGCCCAACATTTGGATCCTGATGAGTTATGGGACGACAAAAGACGAGGTCGCCAGGCTCATCTTTGTGTACCCACGGATCATACTGTACAATCCAGAAACTCTTATCAGATGCTTGGACACCAAAGACAAAATGGGTATTTCATGGAGTTCAAAAATATCCGTTTATGCTGTCGGGGTCACTTGCTCGATGCCCAACGGGAGTTGGGAACGCAAGCTGCTGGCTTTTCAGGAAATTCTTGAATTCTCGAACGACGAAATGATTAGGACTTTGCAACGGGACCCTAATGTTTTCTGTGTCTCAGAAGATAAGATGAGAAAGGTGAAACTGATTTTGCTCAGACTGGGAAATATGATAAATCATCGATCGTTGAATATCCAAAGTCACTACTGTTCAACATCGAGAGGCGGCTCAAGCCTAGGTTTGAATTTTTGCAGATGTTGGAGAGCAGGGGCCTAATCGAGGAGTGGCCTTCTCTCAGATATGTTTGCGTATTTGCAGACGAGAAATTCTGTGAGGAATATGTGGAACCATATATGACTGAAATTGGTGAGGATTATTTGGGGAAGAGAACACTCGATTGCAAATGAGAGACCGAACTCGTGTAAGCTGGTTAACAGTGTAGATACTTTTCTCGGGGGTGTTTCTTTGTGGCGGCGTCTGGTGGCGAGGTAGTGGTGTTAAATAGATACTCGACTTTCCATTTACTTTCCTGCTTGAATCTCCTGTATTTTGTCTTTAAGACTTCTCTTAATGTTTGTTTTTCATGGCCATTTGGACTATAGGATTATTTAATTAGATTATATGCCTTTTGTATTCAAATGAGCCTCTTTTGGCAGGATAAGTTTTTTCGAAGAAGCTCGAGTTTATCTCTAATGCTTCATGAGGTACTGTTCAAAAGTTCCTATTGACACAAGGCACTTTGGAATATTCAATGAGGTGATCGACACAAGGCTCGACTAATCCAATGCATATATGTATATCCGACCATAGTTTGTTCAACAAGTGCTTTATATCATCGGCTTGGGCACATTGTGCATTAACGTTATCAAGAACGTGAAACATGGGATTACTAATCGCCTGCTTCGTCCATCTCGACATGATATGTGCCGACGGAATGAGATTGAAGCCTAGGTCTTTGAGAACAACAAACACGTGTCTACACAACGACCTGTACAACTCGAAGTGCTTGCATGAACACGTAGACGTAGTTAGAACCACATCATGAAAGACAGTGAAGGATTTACCATTTGTCTCTTTAATTATGAATTCCATATGCCCTTCACTTTCAGAGACGTTCAATACACGACAGGTGAAACATGCTGCACATATTTCACCTTGTACGTTGTAGAATGAGGATATCGTGTAAACAGACCTCGCGTGCCTCTCAACCGGAAATGGTGTCTTCAACTCAACCATTTGCGACTCACTGTCGTTTTGTAGCTTGACTGACACGTTTAGCTGCGCGTCCATCGCACTCTCGAAATGTAGTAAGAACTCGACTAAGCTAGAATGAATACTTGTGAAATGACCGAACCAATGGTTCTCACTCTTGGACCTTGATGTTGTCCTCATCAAACTGCTCATTTTGACATCTCTGAAAAATGCTGGAATCCAAGATTCCCTTTTTACAAATAGATAAATCAACCAATTGTGTGTTTCCAGCATATAGTCTCTCATTATTCCCGCCCATTTAGCTTCAAATTCATCAGGCTTTATAGTTCGATCCCACACAATTTCATTAAGCCTTCGCCTGAATTCTACACCGTTACTTATTGAATGACCGACCTTGTTGCATAATTTAGTCATTACATGCCATATGCAAAAACGGTGTTTGCAAGTTTCGAATACCTTAGAAAATGCAATGCCGATCGAGGGATATTGGTCAGTGAAGATATATTCCGGTTCGTGCATCATTGGATCTTTGAAATTCTTGAACACCCATTCATTAGAGTCCACGTCCTCTTTTGATATTAACGCGGCGGCAAATGTAACGCACTTGTTGTGGTTATCTATTCCGGTAAAAGACGCAAACACCATGTTGTACCTACAAGTTGAGAAATTTGAGTTAGTACACATGTGGTAACGTTTATATTGTGCAACCAGAGAACATATAAGGTGCAATTACTGAATGTATAAAGTGCAATTACTGAGTGCATAAAGTGCAATTACTAATTGTATAATGTGCTATTAATATTGACCAGTGCAAAAATATTATTGACTTGACAAACTACATTGGAAAATATATGTGAAATTTATGGCAACCTGTTGCTGCCGTACGTCGCATCAAACGACACAACATCACCAAACGACCTGTAGTTCCTCCTAGAAATCGGATCAGCCCAAAAAAACCGTTTCAAACTTCCGCTTTCGTCAAGCTCGTACTGGAAGTAGAAGGCTGAGCTTGCGTCCTGACGCTTATGGAATTTCTCGATAATCAAAGGTGCATCAGCTCCTAAGATGTACGCATGAAGTTCCCGCTTAAAGTTCTTGAAATCCACACTGGTGGCTCCGACGTTCGGATACCCTCCAACCATCTCCTTATACAGTCGGTACGACTTGACCGGCCCTATATTTGCTTTTATGCAATTCATTACGAACGACTGATGCCCTGTATTCATCGACCTACTGATCTTCATTTGTGACTTGCAATCGTCAGATGTCATCGAGTGGCTATGTTTTTCCTCAAATGTTTTAACGATATATCCATTCAATCAATCATGTCGAATCCCAATCTTGGCAGTACATCCTACTCGGTTGGACACTCTACGTCTTGTCACGTGTCCTTGTACCGTTGTACTGATGACTTCTTGATGCTTGTGACTCTCTCGCGAGCACACGAGGTACTTCCAAATAACCGTTTTGTCACGTGCTTTCACCAACGTGCTATGTCTCACGTCAAACCCAACAGTAAGAGCATAAGTCTTGTAGAAGTTCACCGCTCCACGTAATTCCTAGAATCTTTGTCCTTGATACGGTTTAAGCGATTTGTCACAGCGTGGTACCCAATGTTTCGTTCCACCCAGTGTAATTAAAAGTTGGTGCTGTATAACCGGCGGTTGCATTCCTTAAGTGCCATTGCAAGGAAAAAAAACAGAAAAAAGTATCATTAGTAATAAATAAACCCAACGATTGCACGGAAATGAACAGGAAATTGCACGCAATAGAAACGACGATTACACTTTATCACAATACAGATGAAATTGTCCTCAATACCTGGTTGAAAGCCATTTAATTCCATTGTTTATGCAACCCAACCAAGAAACCGTATGAAATCCCTAAAATCACATGAAAAAACAAACTACATCAGATCAACTATCCTCTAATCATCATATGGATATTACATATATTGACATGTAGACAATTAAACCAACAACACTCAGTTTCGCGCAAGAATTGACCAAAATCAAATGTTTTATAAAAAAATATACCCCCAAGTTAATTCGCGAGGTTTTTTAAATCTGTGGGACTACTTCACGCAGTTAGTCCGGCAAGTGGACGCCGTCGAGTATGTGATATGGCGATTCAATCAAAATTTTTGGACTCGGGAATTGAGATTTGTATGAAATCTCATGGAATATTGGAAATCGAGCTCGAGATAGTGAAGAATCGATTGCGACAAAATACACAGCTGCAGGATTGAGGAGATTTAGAAGCGTGTATGAAGGATCTAGGGGATTTGGTGAGCTTTAGGTGCGGGCATGAAGGAGCTGCGGGATTTGGAGTGCTAGGTCCCGCTTCATTAATTCATGGAATTGGCATAATTACTTTATTACCCTGCAATTGAGGTGTTAATTGAATTCCAGCGGATGTATTGTGTCTGTCCGATTTCATTGATCTAGTGTACCAAATTCATTTTCTTTCACTAAGAATTATTTTCATGGGAACCCAACCCTATATATATAAAGCATTATGTGCATATATACAAAAGTGAAATTGCTTGGAGAATTTTTCCTCTCCAATACTTCATTTAATATATTAAAATAAATTGTCAATTTCTATGTAATTTTATAAAAAAAAAATAAAAATTTGTTGCAAATAAACTTCTAAATTTTATTCATAATTATGTATTGAAAGCTTGCACACCCATTCTCATGTCCGAATAAATATTGAATTTTATTTGTAAAATCCTACAGATAATTAAGTTGTTATAAACAATTAATTATAAACAATTCTTTATTACGAATTGCATTCCAATTTTCATTAATTCTTCTCCTTTTCTTCTATTTGTGAGTAATATAATTTTTTGTTACATGGCTCAATTTTTACACACAATTATTATTGGGAACTCGCATCCCAATTTTTCCTTATTTTTTTACACACAATATTGATCCGTAAGTTATGAATAATTATTTTTTATTTTTAACTATAAATATTTTTTTTTCAATATATTATATACCAAATAATTGACTGTTTCGTTTACGTCCAAGTTAGTATTGACCCGTAGGTTATTGAGTAATTTTTTAGTTATAAATAATTGACTATTTCGTTTACGTTCAAGTTTATATTGACCCGTAAGTTTGAATAATTATTTTTTTATTTTTAATTATAAAAAAAAACTTTTTTTTTTAATATATTATATACCAAATTTAAACCATACAACTAATAAACGTAATAGCTGCAAGTTTTGTCAATATATTATACTAGTACAACACCCGTGTATTACACGGGTGCTTGTTAAAAAATTATTCTTAAATTTTAAAATTGGTGAGAAAACTATAATAAATTTAGTTTACTTTTTTTACAAAAAAAATATATTACTATATATTTTAGAATGATATGTGTTACTTATGACTTACATGTGTTATATTATATTAGTTTTTATAACTTATATCATATAACTACTTGAAATATAAATATATTAGTTGATAAATAATTTTATTTTTCTGATTAATATTAAAAGTAATTTTATTATTGTTATAAAGATAAATATAAATTATTTTTTTATACATACAATATGGATGTTAAATCGAAGCTCATCAAAAGAAGATTAATTTGATATATTACATATGTAAAACTGATAAAAAATACAAAAGTTATTAACTTTTAAAATATATATACAATTCAATAGTTATAATAAGGAATGATATTAAAATACAATTAATACATGTAACATGACCATAAATAATCAACATATTTATGGTAATCCGAACCTAATTATTTTTGGTTTGGAATTAAATTAAAATTTACCCGAAGCATGTAATTTTGCCACATAGGATTCTGAAGCACTAGAGGCAACCACGTAGGCTCAGCGCGTTCTGTATTAATATATAGGGGGAGGGGGATTTCAAATTTAAATCATGCAAGTAATTTGAATAATTATTTTTTTATTTTTAATTAAAAAAAAAACCTTTCTTTTTTTTCAATATATTATATACCAAATTTAAACCATATAACTAATAAAGGTAATAGCTGCAAGTTTTGTCAATATATTATATTTCATTTTTAAATCATGCAAGTAATAAAGGTAATAGACGCAATATATGACCAAAATGATTTTGTACATTAATATAGGCGAGATTTTTCAAATTTTGATGAAAAATATTAATTAATATAGTAAATATTTAAGGCGGGAAACCAATTTTTTTTTTACTGATTTTTAGTTGCTATTTCAAGTAAACTAGTGCTTGGCCCGTGCGATGCACGAGAAAACAATATTACGATTGTGTTATAAATTAAATATACAAATAAATTAATCAAGATTTACCCATCGTTTTAAAATTAAACTGTGTTGGGCACAGTCCGACCGGATGGACCGAGAACCAGTTTATAATCAGTCTAGTTCACATGAATAAAATAGTTGCTATTGAATCCGACAATACCAGTCGGTTGAACTGGTAGGATCGATACGATTTTCTGAATAAATTTTGCTATATTTAAAATTATTTTAAATAAAATTAAATAAAATAGAGATTTTATAAATTGTTTATCAATTACTTTCAACATTAGAATTTTTAAATTGTTTAGATATTTAAGTAACACATTTTATTCAAATTTATTACAAAAAGTACAATGTATATATATTTATATATTAAAGCATTTTTTAAAGAAAAAAATAAATTGTATAATTTTTATAAATTAAATTGTATGATTGAATTGCATGATTATATTAAAGCGTATTTATAAATTAAATTGTATGATTTTTAAATAAAAAAATAAGAAAAATAATAAAACTACTATTTATGAATTGCATTAAATGCTGACCTATTTTTTGCTACTAATTTTAATAAATATGATAGCTTTTAATATAAGTATAGATATCATTGCCTTTTTATATATTAAAAAAAATAGATATCAATACACTATAACCAGATAGAGCTTTTGTTGGTTTAGTTTTTTAATGACCTCAAATTTCTCATACAATATAAACTCAATTATAAATAATACGACCTTCACCCTTTTAACCAGACTTTGATACCATGACAAATATGTGACCTCTCATTCACCCAAAAAACTTATTGTGTCATATAGATTTACCATAACCCCAAATATAGATAGAAAAAGTTGTACCCAAACAAAAAAAAATATAGATAGAAAAAGCCCTAAAATAATATACACCAAATCTCTAATATATTTATACAGAAAATAGAATATTCACAAAATCGATCTAACATTTTCCAAACGAAATTTCAAACAATCACAAAGCAAACTCGTTTACTTTTACATGTGCATCGGAAATGTGTGAATCTAACAAATGAATACTGTGCAAGTAGTTTGATAATTGAGAATCATGGGATGGGACCTCGTCATGACCTGACCACAAAACCATAAATTGCTTCATACACTCGTGGCCACCGTTAGTACAGACTACAGTCCAGAAGTATTAAAAAAAGAAAAGAATAACCAATGAATTGCCCCATCGCTGGCTATTTAAACCTCGGGCCGTCTCTTCTGGCTTCTGCCATTGCCATCCACAACCCGATTAGCTTAGCCTTAGCCACATCCATTTAAACAAATCGAAGATGACTCCTTATTCGACAATCTCCCTCACGGCCAGCAGTCTCCTCCTCCTCCTCTGGGGCTCGGTCGCCCAACAACATGCCGTGCTCGATGTCGACGGAGACGAGCTCCTCGTGGGACGCGACTACGTCATCAGCTCCACTTACCGAGGGGCCGCTGGCGGCTACCTTTCCCTCCGCCCGGGAACCTGCCCGCAGCCCGTAATCCAGACGTTGTCCGACCGCCAGCCGGGCCTCCCCGTGTCCTTCTGGCCCGCCAGCGGTGCCCGCGGCGGGCCCGTCAACGTCTCGGCCAACCTGGACATCCAGTTCATCATCGACGCGGCCACGTGGGCGCAGTGCGACGCTAATCCCGTGTGGATGGTGGGCACTGACTCTTGGACCGGGATTGGGTTCGTGCAGACGGGGGGCGAGCTCGGGCCGAATAAGGACCCCGAGTACTGGTTCAGGATCGAACCCTACGAGTCCAACTACAAGCTTTCGTATTGCTGGGCGTGCGAAATATGTGAGACGATGCCCTGCAGGGACCTGAGCATCCGGATGGACGTTCATGGCAGGCGTTTGGCTCTGGCATTGCCGATCCCTATTCCGATCGAAAGGCCGTTTGAGGTTGTGTTTTGGAAAGGTTGTTGGGGTAATGAGGGTGCTCGCACAAACAAGATGTCTACTGATAATTGATTAAATTAATCAGGTGGCCGTGAGAATGCACGTGCGTGCTTATGTTGAATGTATGTATAAATAATATGTACTTGGGGTTTGTGCCAGTGTTGGCTTGGGTTATGTGTGTGGAATAATAAGATGTGAGCGTTGAGGTGTTAACGAGGAATAAATGAATGAATTAATGATCATTTATGTGTTTTATGTATGCTGATAGCCGAGTTAGCAGAATGCGGACCGGAAAGGGACGATCTCGAAACCCGGACCGGAACCCTAGTTAAATATACAAATGCCGCGGGATGACAAAAGACGAGGTCGCAGGCTCATCTGGATCCTGATGAGGCATGGGATGACAAAAGACGAGGTCTCCAGGCTCATCTATGTTTACCCGCGGGTCATACTGTACAATCAAGAAACTCTTATCAGATGCTTGGACACCAAAGACAAAATGGGTATCTCATGGAGTTCAAAATTGTCCGTTTATGCTGTCGGGGTCATTTCTCGATGCCCAACGGGAGTTGGGAACGCAAGCTGCTGGCTTTTCAGGAAATTCTTGAATTCTCGAACGACGAAATAATGAGGACTTTGCAACGGACCCCAACGTTTTCTGTGTCTTGGAAGATAAGATGAGAAAGGTGAAACTGATTTTGCTCGGGACTGGGAAATATGATAAATCATCAATCGCTGAATACCCGAGGGCGCTCTGTTCAGCATTGAGAGGCGGCTCCAGCCGAGGTTTAAGGTTCTGGGGAAGCTGGAGAGTAGAGTCCTGATCGAGGAGTGGCCTTCACTTGGATATGTTTGCCGATTGGCAGACAAGAAGTTCTTGAGGAATATGTGGAACCATATATGAGTGAAATTGGTGAGGACTTTTACCTGGGGAAGAGAGCACTCGGTTGCAAAAGAGAGACCGAACTCGCTTAAGCAGGTTAACGGCGTGGATATTTTTCTCGGGGGTGTTTCTTTGTGGCGGCGTCTGGTGGAGAGGTAACTGGTGTTAAATAGATACTTGACTTTCCATTTACTTTCGTTCTTGAATCTCATGTATTTTGTCTTTAAGACTTCTCTAATGTTTGTTTTTCATGGCCATTTGGACTGAGTAATGCCGTAGTTTGGAAGCGCGGTTTTAGTTTAAGTGTGTATGATAAGCACTATAGGCTTATTTAATTATCTTATATGCCTTTTGTATTCAAATGAGTCTCTTTGGCAGGATAAGTTTTTTCAAAGAAGCTCGAGTTTATCTCTGATGCTTCATGAGGTACTGTTCAAGTGGAAAGATTGGATAATTCATCAGTGTGTGTATGGAAGAACCCAGCCCCAAATTCTGCGCCTCTTTTCACTCGGCAAGGAAAGACGCCCGACGCTGCTTGAAGAAGAACCAGTCTTCTCCGACCTGCGGAAGTGGTACAAAACTCCGACTGCGATAACGGTAATTTTGTGTATCCATTCTTCTATTGTGTTTCCAAGTTTGAAAGTCGCCTATTTTGTGTATCCATTCTTACAGCTTTGTTAAGCTATTGAAGTACGGATGAATGTGTGTTTTCGAGCTCCGGTCTTCTGGGATTCAGGTTTTTTTTTCTCCTGAATATTGTGCGACTGTTTTGGAGTTAAAATCGGTGGATAGGATGATCTAGCTGGCTGACTTATGAGGTGAAGAGGCTTTCAACTGAATGATGGACTTCATAAGCAGTCTTGTTACATGGATTCAGTGTTTGTTTTATGTGAAGCTATGTTACCCGGACTCTTCTATTTAGGAAGAGTACCCGTGTCATGTTGTGTCGACACTGGTGTGGGTATGAGTGTCGGGTGTGAAATTTTAGCCTCTATGTTCAAGATTTCTAAACTATTGACGAGTCGGACGCTCATATCTCCACACCCGATACGCCACCCATATCCGAGTCCATGTAGAATAGATGTGAAGTGTAAGACTCGCCTATTTCATGTTTTAATTTGTCTATTTTCTAGTTTGGGTGTGTAAATGCTTTGTTCGAAGTCCCTTTTCATTATTGTTCGAACTACTGTATATTGACAAATGCCCCAGTTCTAGGCTTTTGTATGCAAGCAACATATTTCTTCTCATGTGTTAATACCATTAAATAGCCATAAAAATTTACAAAACACAAATTTTGGCCACCTTTTTTAAAAAACTTTTTTTTTAGCCATTTTGACATATGGTTTTACTAAATTACCCTTAGGTCAATATTACTTTGTTTTGCACGATTTGCTCCCCAAATTATTTCAAATCTTTTTTCTCCTCAGTTTTGAAAAAAAAAAAAAAAATATCGCTCCTTTCTCTGCTCCTCTGCACTTCACGAAAAAAAATTCCCTTCATCTTCACCAAATTTGTCTTCAAGAGTTCACCTCTTGCATCTTCACGAGAAATCGAACACCTCACGAGCAAAAATCGAACGGAATTTGGTCCGACCTCTGCACTTCCGCACCCCGCTCCTCTGCACTTATGACCTCATGCGACCTCACAACCCACGCGACTCTTCTGATCGAACGCGACCTCGCCGTCACGCCGTTTTCACGGCCTCTCCGTCACGCCGTCTTCACGAGCTCGTCGGACTCTTCAAGACCTCGCCGAAATTTGGTTTGATTTTTTTTTTTTTTTTTTTTTCGAATTAGGGTTTTTGGTTTATTGGCTATCTTTCTTTCTTTTATTAACTGAGTTTTGCTTTGCTAGCTTAGCTGAAAACCTCTCCCTTTAGCTTCAGGTAAATCTTGAAACCTTAATCTGGTGTTTCACGTCTAATGTCTGAAGATTCAACTGTATTTTGAAGTACAGAATAAAGCTTTTGCCTTTCTTTTTTTTCCCCCTTTTTGTGTTCGGGTGGCTATTCTTGATTATTGTTTATTGTGTGGTGTTAAATAAAAGTTCATGCTCCTTTAGTTTTTAGATTGTGTAAAAGTGGGTTGAGAGGAAAAGGGTTAAATATTTTTTAGCTGCGAGTTATGGTGAGATGAACAATGAGATTGATTTGTTTTTAATGTTTATGAAGTCTTAATTTGCTCGAAAGATCTGTAGATTTCTTGTAGAAATGTATAATCTTGTGGAATTGTTGTTCTTTGCTCGAAAGATTTGAGTTAAGTTTACTCTTAGCTTGTGAGCTTCAAGATCCTTAGTTCTCTCTCGTTCTCTCTCTCTCTCTATCTCTTCTGTGTGTGTGTGTCAGTGTGTGTGTGTATGTTTTTTGTATGTAGTGATCAGAGAGTCGAAGAAATAATCATACCTTATGTAGAGTTTGCAGACATTCACTTTAGGATTCAAAGACAATCACAAGTAGAGGATTATCAGTAGCAAAAACCTGCTATAGCTGAAACGGATTTGTCGATATCTTCATCAGACTTACAAAATCTGATGATTATCAAGAATTATCACTGAAAGAGGTACTTCAGTTTGTTTCTCCTAAGTTGCTTGCCTTTTGGATTTTGTTTTCATTGATAGCTTATAACTGACTATGAGGACTGCAAAATCTTGCATAACTTACCATTTGGGATTAAATAAAAACCTTTGTCCCGTAGAATTGCATGTGAGGGCTGTGGAAAGATTTATCATTTGGTTCCATTAAGCATCTTTGTCAAGTAGAATTGCATGTGTTTTGTGTCTTGTGGTGCTTGTTGTGTATGAGGGCATTTTATTTTATACTAGTATTAAGCTCATATCTAAGTGTCTAAGTGGATCTTCATGAGCTTGGAGTGATGATACTGAATTGGGTTTGAATATCAACTGACATGGATGTGTAGTGACTAAAATTGTGTCTTTTGCTTAGCATTGCTTTATTTCTTTTCTGGTCCTGGTCTTTTCTCGAGCTTCATTGGGGTATCAATTGACAGCCTAGACATTGCAGAAGAAGAAGAACTAAATTTGCAAAAGCCTGCAGATATATATACATGACAAGGGAATTAAAGATTGTCAATTTTGCAAGTTTAAATGTAGATTGCGTTTTTTTATATCAAGTTGAAGTTTACAAGTACAAAATAAATAAAAGTAGGAGAAGACTAAGGGGGGCCAGTAGATCAAAATGGGAATGTGTTCAAGAATAATGCCTTTGTGTGCAGGCAATATCTTTTTTAACTGTTAGAGATTGCTGTTTGGCAAAACATCCCTATGTATGATTATGTATTAATGGTGTGATTTGTGAAATTAGGTGAAGAAACTTCATCATTCTTAACTGTATTGGGCAAGTACAATAAGGTCACATAATTCAAAATGCAACATAAAAAACTTTCTACAAGCAAAGCAACTGTCAATTAAATAATTACTAGTGTAGTACCCGTGCGTAGCACAGTGGAGTTGTTTTCTCAAACCTTTTTTTATAAACTTTATTTTAAATATTCTTGTTTAAAACTTAATAATTTGATTATAATGGAAAAAAATAGAAATACAAAGTATAAAAAAACCATATATTATTAAACACTTCTCTATACACAACATTATTAGTTTGATTCTTTTAAAACCTTTTTCTTCACAAATTAAATTTTCCAGAGCCTTCCTGTTAGTAACACGGGAGACAACGACGTATAACTGGTCATGACTAAAAACTGATTTCTTAAAAAATAAGCCAACATGCGATAATGATTGACCTTGACTCTTGTTTATATTCATTGCATAAGAAACCATAATGGAGAACTGCCTTCTTTGGAATTTGAATGGTACTCTAACATCAGAAGGAGTTATGGTCATTCGAGGTACCAAAATTTTATCACTTGCATGATCGCCAATAAGAATTTTACACTCGAGAACATGATTAGAGAGTTTTGTCACATTAATCGAGTACCATTGCAGAGTCCCACTGAACTTTTGTCTGCAAAGTAAGAATTAAATCTTCATGAACTTTTGCCTGCAAAGTTAAACCTTTGGTGTACGCTATTGCGAGAATCTTACAACTTATAATAGAATGGAACTGAAATAATAGCTGATGTTGATGATGGTTTTTTCTTGCAGAGACATTTACATCTGAGTAAGGCCTTGATTCCCACACAAAAGCCAAGCATGCTGGTGGAAAGTAAATTGAAAT